ATTGCATGTTCCTGTTTAAAAATGCTTAGCTGGTTTCCCATTGTTTCTCTATATATAATAGGATAAAATCCAAACCCCTTTGCATGGCACCAAGTTCATCACAATGAAAGGACCATTTCATTCCTTCTCCTGCCTCTGCTCATTATTCCATCATATCAAGTCTTGCTTTGCATAATGGTTGTATTAGCTTTCTACTGCTCCTTTCTATGACACTAAGTCGTAAACTTAGTGACTTTAACATACAAATGTATCATCTTTCAGTTCTGTGGGTTAAAAGTTCAAAAGGGATCTTATTAGGCTAATCGGAGAGTTGGCAGTGCTGTGTTCCTTCTGGAAGCTCTAGAAGAGCATCTGTTTCCTTGCCTTTGCCAGCTTCTACAGGCTGCCTGCCTTCTTGATTCGTGGGCCCCTTCTATCTTCAAAGCCAGCAAGGGGCAGTTGAATCTTTTTCACATGGCCTCACTCTGACACTGACTTCTGCTTTCCTCTTTCACCTATATGGACTCTCGTGATTCCACTAGGCCCACTGAGTGATCCAGATAATCTCTCCATCTCCAAATCTTCAACTTAATCAATTTGCAAAGTCCCAGAGTGGACATCTTTGGGAGGCCATTATTCTAACTACCAAAGTGGTGTTCCTTCTGCCTGGAGAGTTCACTTCTCTGCTTTGAAGACTTCTGCCCAAATTCCTTAGGCATTCCTTAAGATCCTATGGAAAATGTCACTATTTTCATGCCCCCCCTCTTCCTCCAACCCAAGGGGCTCATTTCTCTTGTCTCCCCAGTCCCATGTACAAATACCTCTCTTGGAGCATTTACCTTGCACTATAGTTTATTTGTCCTCAAGTCTGTCTCTCTGACTAGATTCTGAGTCACCAAGTCTTATTCATTTCTGCAGCCCCTGGGGCCTAACTATTAAAGACTGTGGGGAAGAAAAATGAATGTGATATTTTAATGAGTGAAGACCTCAGGTGGAGGCAGAGGCAAGACCATAAATTCACAGGGCTTCTGTTTTGAGTGTAGCTTAGAAACTAGTTCCAACAGCTCTTAACTGGGTCTTAACCCATTTTCAATCAAACCCCTTAATTCTTCAACCATTCCAGGAGGCGTTATAGCAAACTTAGACAATTCACATCTAAGGATATTTCTTTTCTTTTCTTTTTTAAGATTTCTAACTTTAATGTGAATTGCCATGGATCACAACATGTCAGTTTTAAGTGTCCTCCTAGGCATGGCTGGAAAGGGCAAGCTGCACCCCAAGTGCTTGGTTAGGTGAGGGAAGTGATACTATCTGAATGATTTCTGAGTTCCAAAAAATGACACTCATCTAACAAATCTGACTATACTACGTTCGAGGTTAAAAGCCACTTTGCCACAATATTTATTTGGTATTTCAGTATCTGGAAGTTTTTCATTAAAAAAAAAAATAGAACAAAAGTTCAAAATTAAACAAAATTTAAAATAGCCTTAACTACTCAACTATTCAAATTACAAGCCGAAGGAGAGGTTGAATAAATTATGGCCACATGAATGCGGGAAGATCTATTTTTAAAGGCCAATAGTTTGCTATGAATATCCAATGTCACTTACAACACCATACAGTACAGAAATCTAAAGACATGAAAATAAAATGAAAAATTACGTGCCTAGCAGTTGAGTTGAAAGAACCCAACAGGCACAGAAAAAGAAGAATTGGGGGTGCCTGGGTGGCTCAGTCGTTAAGCGTCTGCCTTCCGCTCAGGTCATGATCCCAGGACCCTGGGATGGAGCCAAGCCCCGTGTCTGGCTCCCTGCTCCGCAGGAGGCCTGCTTCTCCCTCTCCCACTCCCCCTGCTTGTGTTCCCTCTCTCGCTGTATCTCTCTCTGTCAAATAAATAAATAAAAATCTTAAAAAAAAAAAAAGAAAAGAAAAAGAAGAATTGGTCACCTGTTTCCTAATTTGAATACAAAGTCTACTCTGCTATTTTTTCTTCATTAGCAATAGTAAAACCCCTCTTGGACCTAAATCTTGTCAGTTTTGGTCATTTTCATTTAGGAAACTCCATTCTTTTGTGGAATTCCTGAGGCAATAAGCAGTGTTTAAACATGCCGTTTGTTAAATTTCACTGCTTTTCCTAATCTTGAAAAAATGAGATTTTTTTAGATCCAAAAGGGGGCCTACTGATCCGTATTAAACCTCACATTCACAAAGAGGGACACTTAGGCCTTGCTGCTTCCTCTAGGTCACGAAGAAGCCAAGGCTAAGGGGAGACATTATTGACTGCCACTTGGGAATGCAGCCTGAGAACACAAGACTTGCTCTACAGGATTAATTGTGCATATATGCGGTGCTTCAAGGCCGACTTTAAACTTGGTGCATTTTTATAGAGAAGGGAAGTGCAATTTCTCAGTGTTTGTGTTTTTTTGTTTTTTTCCCCAAACTTCTAAATTGTTCTGTGAATGTAGTTAGAAGTACATTTAGGAGCAATGAACACCACCAACCAACCAACTGGGCTAACATGGAGGACTTCAGGCCTAATTTGTAGAAAGACTATCATGTCATTGCTATTGTTGTTGTCTGGACATTTTAAGCCTTTCCTGTTCTTAAATCTTGGTTATGTATAGGCTAAGCAGAAAGCTCCCTGGGGAAATCACTCAGAGGATCTGGAATTAAGAGCTGGAGCCATCTCAGGCCAGAACAAACATTAAAGGCTATGCACAAACCAATGAAAAGTCAATGCACCTCCAAAGTCTTAAGGTCTGTCAAGAATGCAAACAAGAAGTTTTGTAATAAGCTTAATAAATAAAACAACTGAACCTACTAAGTGGTACTTACAGAAACAGGCTTGAGGATATAGCCTGAGAGGTAGAACAGGTTCCCACTAGAACAAGGATTGTTTACCTTGCTCCGATTAAATCCAATAATCCTAAGAGTTGTAATGGTACTAAATGTTTTAGCAAGAATCAACAGTAGAAACCCCAGTGGGATCTACAAACTGCATTTTTCTGTAAAAGTAAAATGCCAGTAGGAACAATATCGTTCTAACATTCTCCCTTCTGAATATAAATCTTCTTCCATCTTGCATTTCATCCTGAACAATTTTACTATGTTCAGCATAGTAGCAACTGAAAAAAATGTGTTTCATCTAGAAGCAAAAGTGAGAAACCTTTACAAAAAACACTGAGCTTCTCCAAAGCTAGATTTCCAAGTTCTTAATATAAGCTAACACAAAATAAAGACTGCTACAGTAACCAAACTTTTCTGCTAACAAGTATCCTTAAAAACAATGACAATTCGACCATAATAGATTATTTTCTACGGTGTGAGCAGATAATGGACCTACATTCTTCTTCTTCTTTTTTTTTTGCTAGCTTGCTTTATAAATCTTGCAACTTGCAAGCTCAAGTTTTTTTGGAGGCCAAGGCAAGTTAATAGTCGAGCTTAAAATAAATCGGCTTTGCAATTACTTTGTTTTTTTTTAAGCCGATGAAGCACGTTTCCCCATTCCATGCCATGAAGCAATTCGATGTCAACTTGCTATGGAGTCAAATGCGACAAACTCCGAGAGCTCCAGTCGCGAGGCGGTGGCTTGCTGCACCCACAGCTTCTCGCACTCCTGCAGCATCAGGACGCTGCACTCTCCCGGCTCTGGGCGCAGAACACGAACTCAGGGCCTCCGGGCCACGGGACAGTACACCCTACCCCCGTCCCGGGGAAACTGAGGCACGGTGACCCGAGCGAGCTGAAGTCCGGCGAAGGCCCCCGCCGCTGCTTTGGCGTTCCCTTGCCCCCCGGAGGTTTAGGAGGCTCCTAGGCATCACACTGTAGACACCGCGCTCTTCGCCTTAGGAAGATTACGGCACAAGCCTGGGAGGTGGCTGTCCCCAAACCACCGGACACCGGGTCCCGCCCCGCACGGATCTCGAAGCATCCTGAGACCCCCAGGAGCCCGCTACTGGGACCTCGCGGCGCCTCCAGCACGCAGCCTCCTCCTTGGGCTCCGCCAGCCTAAGCGCCCGAAAGTTCCTCGGCCCCAGCGGCCGCAGCGACCCGGCCGCCCACCCCGTGCGGGGCTCCCTGCCACCCGCGCCCCGCCGCCCCTGCTGTCCCGGCGCCCCTGCTAACCTGACGCCGCCACGCCACTCAGGTGGCCGCCTTGCGCTCCTCGCCATGGCCAGCCTGCGAGCCGTCGCCGCTCCACGCCCCGCGCCCGGCAGCGCCTACTGCGGGCTAGCTGCCTCCGCAGGCGCGCTGCCTCCGCAGGCGCCGGGCAGCGATGCGGGCTGCGCCGCGGGCGGCCGGGAGTGCGGAGCTTCCCACCTACAGCAGCCGGAGCCGGCCGGTGCCGAGCATGCCCAGTGCGGCTCGCCGGGCGGCGCGGAGGCGCGGGGCCGGGAGGGGTGTCGCCGCCGGGTTTTCGCAGCAGCCACGGGCGCGGGGCGGAGCGGGCGGCGCCGGGCGAACCTGTGAGAGCCGCGGGATCCACCCGCAGAGGAGGGGGGCGGGCTGAGTGTGCCCGGGAGTCCCTCATTCAGCCGGCGCAGCCTCTGGGGCGGGATTCGGTCCCCCGGGCTCCGCTCAAGCACGCCTAGGGTGTTGCTGGAGCCGAGGGCACTTATTTCCGACGCTGTGACGCTTGGGCAGCGTGACTGATAATTGCTGGGGAGCAGGGCGCTCCCAGGGCTTCCAGCGCAACTTTTCTGAGCGTCGTGTCGCATTGTTGTTCAGGGACACCCAGGAACAGGTTTCCTAGGATTCCATCCTGGGACTCGGGAGAGAGCTAACCGTCCAGCCTCTGGACTTACCCTATTCCAAGGCCACCTGTGAAGCCACCTGGCAATCAAAAGCTTCGCAGGCCTTACCGGGTGACTCTGCTGTCACTTCTAAAGCCCACACAGAAGCGGCTGCAAGAAAGTACAGCAGGATGTTCACTGGTGGCTTCTGAGTGGTGGGGTTCCAGGGATTTTTAATTTCCTTCTTTTTTGATTAGTTACAGTTTCTCAGTTTTCTATAATGGACAATCTGGTGCTTTTTAAATAAGATATGTTATTCTATGTTATTCTAAAATGATTTTTTGAAAACGCCTGCAGAACTTCGGCAGCACCGTCCTGCAATGTAAGCAGCGACCCCCCACCCCCCCTTTTTTTAGGCTTGCGGGAGAAAATTTCTGGGGCCAGGACCAGGCTCCTCCTCCCTGGCTCCTTTCGGGCCGCCCCTTGGCCACGCCCCCATACCGACCCTTTTACTCCAGTACCGCCCTCTTCTCCTTTGGTTGCTGAGAAAACCCGGAAGGGTGGACTTTCAACACTGACGTTCCCGGTGGCTCCTATGCCAGGCTGGGCCTGTTCCGCCGCCGGGTCAGGGACTGCTGACAAGGAGAGAGGCGTCTTTAAGCAACTCCCAGCCTCTCTCCTCCTGCTCTCGGTCCTTGGCAAACGGAACAAAGTAGCACCTCCGACCCCCTGCCAGGAGCTCGGACCTGCAAAGTGGGTCAGGACTCGACTGAGCATGCTCCGGACAGTGCCAGAATGCCGCACGCGGCTGCATCTCGTTGCCCAAGGTTGATGTAGCTGCGCTCGCTCGTCACGACATCGAAGGTCAGGAGGCGGGTGGAAGCGGGGTCCTCGAGTTGCGCTATAGCTTCGACACGTGGACAGGTCGCTTCTACCCAGGCCTGTGTTGGGGGGGGGGGTGCATGGGATCTGGCTTATAAGTGACTCAAAGCCTGATTTTTCCCTAAAAGATTAAAATTAGAAATAATATTTTAACATTGGCTTTATGGCATCTCCAATAATAACACGTTTTAAGCTCTAAGAACTTTTCAGCCCATCTTTAAAGAAACCTGAATCTTTTTTTGATTTGCACTAGAGCCCTAAATTTTCTCTTGTTTTATCAAAGATTAAATGTTTGTCCTCACTTTCAAATAATTCCACAGTATTATATTACTTTTTTTTCCTTCCAACAATTCTGTGTTCACTGCGACTCCTGTCCACCTTTTTTCAAATTCTCAGAGAATCAGCAGAATGCTCTCATGCTATTTTAAATAGGCTTGAAGCAGGTGTGGGAAATTTGCTTTTAATGCTCTGTCACAGAGGAGAAGACTGAAGTGGAGAAAGATTACAGGGAAGAGATTTTACAGGCTTGAGGTAAATAAACTTGAGAAACCAGAGAGAGCCTTGCAGTGAGCCCAGGCAGGTCAGTGGGATATTTGTCTGTTTTCTGTCTGAGGAAGGAAATGGGCAGATGGGTCAGCTGCCTAGTGACGTTTGGTGTGATAGTGGGAGATACCGTCACTAAAGGTTGGCTTCATTTCAACCTCTCGCTCTCATCCAGCCCCGGTTCAGCTTCAGCATGATTGGAGACACCGTCTTTAGTGGAAGGTCACTCCTGGGAAGAACTTAAGTGTTTCCCCCTGGACCCTAACTTGTGCTGGGTCACCCTCATCCCTCAGCTTTGAGACTCCATGGTTCCTGGTACCTCCTGAGCACTGCTCTTGTTCCCTATAGACATCCACACCACAAATAGTCTGTCTGGAGAAGAGATGGGTAAGACATCTCTTTAATAGTCCATACTGCCATTCCTTCCCATCTGAAGCTTCCTGGTCCCCAGTCTTCTATGACATAAACCTTTCTTAGTTTTCCTGTCTTTCTGACGGTTCCTTCTCATCTTCGTTCTCCAGGTTCTTTTCCTTTGCACCACCCCATTGTAAGTGTTCTGTCCTGTGGCCTCTTCCCTTCTGCTTTCCCTTCTGCTCTTCCAATCCGATGACTGTCAGTACCAAGGTGGTGTTCAGTTGGTGTCTTGCTAGCTGTTAATTGCTGCAATTCTTTCTGGTCCATCAGGCACCTATTCTCGTTGGTCAGTGTCTATGCCTGACCATTGGTCTCTAATGGTTATTAATATTTTGAGTATTATCTTTGCCCCAAACGTTATATTCCTCTCCAAATCTCCCTGAGTTTGGACTCTTATATGTAATCTACCAATATCTTAATTCCTGTGACCCTTAGGAAACTTGAGCTCTATATGTCCCAAACACAACTCAAGAGTTGTAGTCACTCTCCTACTTATGTGTCCTAACTTGGTTACTGGAACCCCCATCTTCTCAGCTCTGCACACCATAAATATGGATGCTATCCTCGATTCATCCATCTGCCTTTTGTCTGTCATCCAGCTAGCCACTGGGCACTGCCCACCCTAACCTTAGACATCTCTGCATATGGACCCTCCACCTGCACTGCCCTCTCAGGCCCATTATCCCTTCCAAATGAGTCCTCTCTCTCCCTGTGTTTCCTCCAATCCAGTCTCCATGCCTCCTCAGACTTTTCTTTCTAAGCAAATTATATTTTAGTATATTTGCTAAGCCCTCAGTGTATGGATTCATAGTGCCTTCAGGATAAAGTCCAAATTTTAAGCATGAACTGGCCTGTCTCCCTCTCCAGATCAGTCTCCAGCCAGTGTCCCCTAGTGTCCCATATCCTAGCCAACCCGAGCTACTTGCTATGCGAATTCATGCCTCCATGTTCCTTTAGTTCTTTTGTTTCTTCTTTCTGCTTGTTCACCCTTTGGCAACTGATAAGCCTTCAAGGTCCAGTTCAAGCTTGGTCCCCTGCGATCTCCTCAAGATGACTTTCTCGTGAATACTTCACCTATGTACCATATACTTTCTTCAGTTTGACACCTAACCTTGGTTTATTATTTTTTTTTCAACTCCTGCATTACATTGTAGGCAGTGTGAAAACAAGAGCTTGTTTCAATCATCTTTGTATCTTTGTTTTTCAGTTTTCAGTAATATTTTACTTAATAAATGAATGATTGACATTTGTACGCATACAATATTTAAAACTCATTAATTTTTAAAAATTCTTCCTGAGTATTGTAAATAGAATGCAAAGAAAAAAATACCAGAACAAAGCCACATCACATACAACCTGCTGAATGGTTATGCTTTTTTGAGTAATATAAGCAAGATCTCAGATTTGACCTTAAACTCAGTGAATTTTCTTCAGCTTCAGAAATCCAGGAAGTGTGTTGTGAGCCAGTCTGATGTACTTGTATTATCAGTCTCTAACTGCACAAAGCTCAGCATTGTATTGCTAATTAATCCACAAATTCCATTGTTCTTTATCACTGTGTTTTTTTCCATGGGGTTGTTATTATCCTCTAATTATATAGTTAGTCCTTAGAATAGATTTTGTTTATTTTTTCTGTTGAAAGTATGGCACCTCTGGAAAGCAGATTAACCCTTTAGGAATGAACATAATTTTTATGGTTCTTCCAGCTCCTATTGTCTGCCTGGACCACCTAAAGCTAACTATGGAGGGGAATGACCACCTGCTTTAGAACCCCCCAGGGGATGAGGAACGCCTTCCAGACCTCCTGGATAGAATGGTCTCCAGGGCAGCAATTTTAACAAGCCCTCAAGGGGATTTCACACACTGTATTTGCGAAACATCGCTCTGTATCATATGGATAAAAGGAAAACTAGTAACTCTTAGTCCAGAACTTCGAGTAGCCCCAATAATTGGTTTTCTTTGGCAGAGAGATATATGTGAGTGGAAAGGGTATCAGTCCATTTCAAAAAGTGTCATCCATGTTTGTGCTGATTAAATAGCCTTGACTTATTTTAGAGTGTGGAGAATATGGAAGAGCCCCTAGAAAGGGAGCTTCTTGTTTTTCTCTGTGTTGAAGCACACAAGGATTTTTTTTTTTTTTTAAAGATTTTATTCATTTATTTGAGAGAGAATGAGCTAGAGAGAGCATGAGAGTGGGGAGGGTCAGAGGGAGAAGCAG